TTTTTTTTGATAAGAGCGATCAGCGCTTAGACAGAACGCTATTGTCAGTTCCAGTATGTGGAACGATGGGGGTTTTCCCTCTTGAGCTGTCTGAGTTTCTCCCCAGCTCTGGGCCATCCTCAATGAAAAGATCTTCACCAGTGATTACAAACTACACTATCTCATCTCCGATCTTTGATTTCTCTCTAATAAGCCCAGTTCTTACTTTCTTTACGACCATGTTATTGTCCAAGTCCTGCTTTGGAAGACTGACTGTAGACGACTAGGCTCCACACGTATTCCAGAGTTAAAAATTTGGATGTGTATGCCAAGTCAATTTATCTTGCACTCTACTGATAATATCCAAATGTCATATGGAAGACACATTTTTTGCTGATTTTTAGTATGGGAGACAAGATTCTTAATTTATTTTATTTTATTTTTACGTACTGAAATATCATCTTGTGTAGTTGCACTTCTCATTCAGTCAAAACAACTATTTTAAACTTCATGTTGAAAATACAAAGTGAATCTGGCCTTAACCAGAAATGTCGTACTAAAAAATATTTTACATAAATGAGGTAACTCCAGCATTGCATCATGGGTGACTAAAACTGGGCAGACTTACAAAAGCACTACCAGGAGTTTCACAAAATCTCCCATTGTTCATTCTCCGATTTTCCAGGCAAACACGTGGTCAGTTTTCAATTATATAAATACATAGATTTAATTAAGTGATTTATTTTTTAATTTTTTTTAGTTTACTATAACATTTAAAATTACTGCACTAAAATATAACATTTTTCTTACACTATTGGTTTTAAAATGCTTTTGTTTTTAAAGAAAATTTCACATTTATTTGATCAAAAGTACAATAAAAACAGCAATACTGTAAAATAACATTGCAGTTTAAAACAACTATTTTCTAAATTTTAAAATGTAATTTATTTCTGTGATGGCAAAGCTAGATTTTCAGCATCATTAGTGTCACATGATGCTTCAGAAATCATTCTAATATGCTGATTTGCTGCTCAAGAAATATTTTTTATTATCACTGTTTAACATGGCTTGACACATGTAGCTTGATATTTTTCTGGAAACCGTGATACTTTATGCTTGCCATTTAGAATCACATGACAGTGTAAAAATATGCTTAAATATGTTCTATCAATTATTGAAATTAGATAATCTCTTCCAGAACAAGACAAGCAACAGTTCATCTAACCTGTTATAGCTGTTTCTTTGTTACACGCTAAAAAGGAGGTAGGCGTTCCACCACAGCAAAGACGTTTTTTTGGCAGGAAGTGAAGAAAAAAAAAAAAAGCCCTACATAAAACAAAGTCTGATGATGATGGATAGTGACAAAAGTTCCCTTTCTGTGGGAGTCATAAGTTTAGAAATAGTCTGTCAAGTGGTTTCAAAGATTAAAAATATGCCCTCCCTCCTATTTTAAAACAGGATTCCAATACACTTTTTGAAGAATGAGGTAATCTCACTTTTTGTTGCAATTTGGAAGTGAAAAAGCCAAAATCATGTACATACCTCTAAATTCTATCACCTTATACACAAAGACAAATCTAACTTCTGACCCATCTCTATAATGGCAAAAATAAAATATTGTTTTTATTATTTTAAAAATGACCGATATTCAAATTTTTAAATTTCTCAAAAGGATTATTTCAGTCTTCTAAAAAAGGGTCACCAAAATGCATCAGACAAAGTTTGGCTCAAATTAACCATATTGTGCCTAAATTCCCAAAATAAGATGAGGAGTCAGACAGGGCAAGCAGACCTTAAAATTATTGAGAGGAAGGCAAAGGAAAAAAAAAAAAACTCTGGAGGGCAGCCTTTCTGAAAAAAAAAATCTATCTAAAATAGTCTAATGAAAACAGGGATATAAAATAAAATTATTAGTTTGAGGGAATATCACAAGCACTATTTTTTCCTTCGAAATAATGTGAACCGGAGAAATATGCACAAAAACAAAAGGAACATTTAGAAAGTCTATTTTGATTTTTATGTTAACTTAAAAATCAAAAGTAGTTTTTGCTTGCTGCCAGTTTTATCAACTTGACAAACTGAAATTATTAAAAAATATGAACCTAAATATCACCTTTATCTCATTATGCATTCAGTAGGGCACGCTTACTTGAAATAAGTAGTGTCAAATGATAAATGAAATACTTTTATTTGAAGGTTTCTACTTTCAACTTGCACTTACCTCGCAGCAGCAACAATAATACTGCATAATCTGCTTCCAATGATGGTCACTGTTTGGATTGGAAAGAATGGTTTCACTGACTTGTACCTGCCACACCCTGGTAATAAAGTCACAGGAAAGAAAACCAAGCAAAATAAACCTGACTTCACCTCACATTTTGAGCAAATTTTCGAGAATGTTTGCATAACTGTTATTACTATTATCACTGTTATGATTGCTGAAGTAATCAGATGCAGTCAGTGTAAAACTGTAAACACCGAGTGAAAAAGGTTGTGGTGTTTCACATGCATCCGTTCTTACCAGAATGATGGGGACGGACCCGTTTGCAAGGTGCCAAGTCATGCAAATTAGGGGTGTTAGGTTACTCCTTTCATGTTGATCTGCAGTCGGTGTTGTATTTCCCCTTGATTGGATAAGGTTAGGAATTTTATGAGTGTTATGAGATGGAGCCAAATGGAAAAGAAAAAAAAACTGACACATAGAAATGTCCTGCCACTCTACTGTGTATTCCATCTTTCAAAAAGAAAGACAAGATTTTAATATTACTTAACAATATGTTAAAAAGTAGCCAGTCCGGCTTCAGTGTTAATACAATATACACTCTATAACAGATTGATAGTGTGAGTATTGTTCTTTTCGATTCAATTCTGAAAGTATTCTGATACAAGCTTGGTAACAAGTTGGAAAAAGAAAAAAAAAAGGTAACTTGAACACAGTTGTTACACTGAACATTTTTAAATGAAAAACCGACGTGAACATTGTCAAGTATTAGCCGTTCTCCCAATAAAGGGAGAGATTCGGGGCAATGACGTGAAGCTGACCAGTCCGATTCTCTTGACAACGAGTTGTGAGGAAGTGCAATGCTAGGTGCAAAGGTGAGCAAAGCCACAGCTGATCTGAATAAAGGGATCTTTTTTCATATTCATCTTTTTTTTTCTTGAAGCATGTCTTTTGCAGTGCCTTCATCCTAATGTACATAAAGCCAGAGAAAACCCAGAACATGGCACAGACCTAAGGGAAACGGTCCACTCACTGACAAAAAGCACACACGCTTTTTAAAAGAAGAAAGGGAAACCAAAATAATAGGGATAAACTTATAGAGTAGCATTTTGTGGTTGTTTTTTGACTTTCCTCTTTTTTTTTTTTCTCTCTCCAGTAGTACTGCAGGAATACAAGCCCGTTTTGGGTTCTTTGAGGAACCCACAGCAACAAGGACAAGGCAAGGCGGCATGGATAATGTAGACCGGAGGAGCAGGTGAAGCATAGCAGCACTGGGGTCAGCAGTCAGTCTGTAGAAACATGGGAGAGAGAGAAGAAACCGGAGGAACGCTTATCGATTCCTGCCATTGTCTTTTGAAAGGAAGACCCATTAGTGGGCAGCAAACGTGGCCTTCTTCAAGCTAAAATTGGACCAGTTGATGGACAACCTCTGCCTTGTCTGTCGCGCGGAGTCCAAGCAGAACCTGCAAAAAGGGTAAAAAATTCATTTGTTGGGGAACAAAAGGTCATGGATGCCAGAGAAAAACATTACCAATATCAAACAGTACCTTTTGAAATATTCCACCTCACGTTCGGTCTCGTCCATGTCTACACTGTCCAAATCAATGTCTTTGGGCAGAAATACATCATCTGTTGGACAACAAGAGAGTTCTGACCTGATTTTCCATTCAAAAGTGGACAAATCTTTTTATCCTTTATATTCAGACAATTTGGCAATTCACAACACTCACCTATTGAGTTATTCATCTTGTCCGCTTTTTTCTTCTTATTCTTCTTGGCTTTGCTTTTGGGCTGAGGGGACTCGTTGTTTGGGACTTTGCCGTTCTGCTGAGGAGGGTCAAAAGCTGAAGATTCAATAACAGGAGAGTTCCTCTCATCTTTCCCTCCATTCTGTGGCTTTTTCCCATTTGTCCTCTCATCCCTCTTGATCTCGGTCACTGACTCGTCTGAAGCTTTCTGCTTGGCTTTGGCATCAGTTTGAGGGATGGCTGCGTTGCCGGCTTTGGGAGGCTCTGGAGCTTTGGAGGTCTCAGC